TTATGAGAATAGTAAAAAGCCATGCATTGTCAAGAGGGATGGTATGAGAGAGTGGCTCAATCATCTTGGAATATGGGAGGCCTTGGATTCCAACAGCATTAAATATTAGAGATAATGCACAGTAGATTTGTAGACAATGAGTCAGTGGTAGTTCACAGTTCTGCATTATATAAGAACACTTTCATATAAGTATTTAAGGACTAAAGTATGTTTTAAGTTCAAATTATTGTGATTAAGAGATCTATAAAACAGAAATACGTCTAACCTGTAAGCCCCACTTGCCCAGGGACAGATAAATTCCTGGAATGCTGAGGGCTGTTTATGTAAGATAACAAGCCAGGTGTTTCTACTTCTATAAACAAGCTTGGTTGCCCCAACTGCACAGGATCTTGATCACACATAGGCAAGAAGTTTGTCAGGATGTATATTTGCTCCCACTGGGTGAAGTCAGGAAGAATATAGTGCCTTTAATAAGCACCTAACATAATTTGTGGCCATCCTCTGGGAATCCTGGTATGGACCTGGTTAGAGTCTTTTGTCCTGGCCAGTATTTAATTAAAGTTTGCGTCAAATTTGGTTCAAAACTTGTGATAGTGGTCATATTCTTTTTTTTTAAAGATTTTATTTATTTATTATGTACACAACATTCTGTCTCTATGTATGCCTGCAGGCCAGAAGAGGGCACCAGATCTCATTACAGATGGTTGTGAGCCACCACGTTGCTGCTGAGAATTGAACTCAGGACCTCTGGAAGAGCAGCTAGTGCTCTTAACCACTGAGCCATCTCTCCAGCCCTAATGGTCGTATTCTTGCTAGTGGGATTAACATGCCGAATGTATTCCTCATCCTATTCTTAACTCTCCCCTTTCCCCTTCTCATCTCTTAAGTTCTCTTGATTCCTTTAGAAAATTTCTACTTCATGCCCTATATACATAAATGATCTTGTATATCTTTACAAAGATTAGAAACCATACCTGAGAGAAAATATTAAATATTTGCTTTTCTGACCATCTCAACTCACTTAATATGATTATTTCTAGTTGCATCCGTTTTCCTTCAAATGACATAACTTTGCTCTTTATGGCTGAAAAAAATTCCATTGTGTATATATACCACCTCTTCAGTATCTTCTCTTTTGTTGCTCCATCTCTAGGTTGGTTACATAATGCACCTATTGTGAACAGTGCTGCAATAAACATCAATATGCAATAATCTCTGTGATATGCTGACTTGGAGTCTCCTGGGTAATACCCAGGAATGCTATAGCTAGATTTATGATAGATCTACTTTTAACCTAGTTTTAAATTAACTTTTGGGCCTGGAGGGATGGCTCAGCCGTTAAAGGCTAGGCTCACAACCAAAAATATTAAAAAAATATATAAATTAACTTTTGTTATATTTTATTTATTCTGTCTGTGTGGAGTGAGCATGCCCATGCCACAGTGCATATGTGGTCAAAAGATAACTTCAATGAGTTGATGCTCTGTTTTCATCGCGTGGGTCCTGGGAATTAAACTCAGGTCGTCACACTTGGTGATAGACCCCTTTACCCAATGAGGTTTCTTTTTTTTTTTTTTGAGACAGGGTTTCTCTGTGTAGCTTAAGAGCCTGTCCTTGCTTTTTAGGCCAGGGTGGCTTTGGACTCACAGAGATCCACCTGCCTCTGACTCCTGGGTACTGGGATTAAGGGTGTGTGCCACCACCACCCAATATCCACTGAGATTTTCAAATAGTTCCTCTTTTGTTCTTTGGAAATACTTCCATACTGATCTGTGTAGAAGATAAACTACTTTATACTTTAGTCAACAGTACCTTAGTTCCTTTTGTCCATATCTCACTTAGCATTTGTTATTTCGTTAATGTCATTAATGACTGTCATTCTGATTGAGGTGAGGGATCAATGTAGTTTTAATTCATATTTCTCTGACAGCTAGCGGGTTGAATGTTTTTTCATGTATTTATTAGTTATTTGTGTTTCATCTTTTAAGAACTATTTTATTACTCAAGTTGTTAATTAGGTTGTTTAATTTTTGCTGTTGTATATTTTTTTTTGAATTTTTAAAAATGTATTCTAGGTATTAGTCCTTGACAGATGTACAGTTGGTAAAGACTTGGTCCTACTCGGTAGACTATCTCCTCACTTGACTAACACTTTCTCATGCTTGGCAGAAGCCTTTTGATTTCCTGAGGCCTTGGAATGGTTGATCGTAACTGCCAACTTGATGGGATTTAAATCACCATGGAACCAGAAGTGGTGGCAAATGCTTTTAATCTTGGCACTTGGGAGGAAAAACTCTTTAAGTTCCAGGCAAATGACTAAATGACAACATAACAGGCCCAACAATGAGAGGATTCTCTTTAAATCCTGGACAGGTGTTTCAGTAAGAGGGAAAGCTTAATGTTAGAGAAGAGATTTTAAAAGCATGGTGACAGGGGAAGCCAGAGGAGCTTTCAGAAAAATCCACTGGACATGGGAAATACGTGGCTTTCATACTTAAAATATACATCACATGAACACACATTGCTATCTATAGCATTTCATTGTGTAACCTCAGCTGACCTTGACCTCACAGAGATCCAGCTGCCTCTGCCTCTTGAGTGCTGAGATGAAAGGTGTGCAACACACATCTGGCTTTCTTTCTTTCTTTTCTTTTTTTTTTTTTTATGAAAGATGATGGTTGGTAGGACGCTTCACATCACTTGATTTGATCCGGGATTACATATGTGACAAAGTGCACAGAGGAGCCAGGTAGTGGTTAGGAACACAGATTTGTGGCAACTTCTTGACTGCCTGTCTCAGGGAGAGAGTTGCATTGCCTGATTTCTTTAGGCTGTGAGATCTGGCTTCTTAGTGTAAACAGCATTTTTTTTTTAAATTAAATCACTGCTGGCCCATTAGCTCTAACTCTTTATTGGCTAACTCTTACATATTAATTTAACCCATTTCTATTAATCTGCACATCACCACGAGGTAGGGCCTACGAACAAAATCTCAGCACATCTATCTCTGGTAGCGGGTCCATGGCGTCTCCTGACTCTGCTTTCTTCCTCCCAGAATTCAGTTCTGTCTTCTCTGCCTACCTAAGTTCTGCTCTATTAGGCCAAGGCAGTTTCTTTATTCATTAACCAATATAAGCAACACATAGAGGGGACTCCCACATCACCTCCCCTTTTCTGTTTAAATAAAAAGGTTTTAACTAAAGGGTAGGTCTCTGTTCTCAGAGAAACTAGCATTTGTTGGTTTCAGGTGAGCCTTATGGCCAATGCCATTACAGTTTAGCAGAACACATAGGAAGTGAAGAGCTGACATGGTAGAAAAGAGGAAGCAGGAAACCCCCCAAGGGACTAGTCTTACTCCATATACATTAACACTCCACTCCAACCAGACCAGATCCACACCTCTGAGATAATATCAGTTGATTAATGAAGGTGGAGTCGGACTGACCTACTTACCTTCCATTGGGCCCTACCTTTTAAATTTTCCATGTCGGCATGGTCTCACTGAGGACAAAGCTTCAAGCATATGTGTGAGGGGAGAAGGGTGCCACACCATAGCACGGTTACACTGTAGGCACATACTTATTATCTGAGAAGTGGTAGATTACAGAATATGTGGTATCTGACATTACCTAATACCTTCCTAAAAGAGTTAAAATAACTAGCAATCTACCACTTTATCACGGACCAAACCATTCATTTTCAATAATACTTCATTGTAAATGTTTTTTTATGGTCATAAGCTGATTTTATGAACACATCTGACCATCAAAGTTATGAACACACACATATACCTATATTTACCTACCAAAGTCTAGTACTTCACCTTTCCCACTTATCACTTCTCCATCTCGAGTTGATTGTTTTGATTACTTGCAGGCAATTATTCCCCCTTTGTGAAGAGTCAATTTCTCCTCCAGCATAGATGCATACTTACAATAGATCCTTATCAACTCAATTAGGCTCAAACCTGCTTGGCATTTTCTCACTATCTTTCACCACATCCTTTAGGACTTATCACTCACCACACCCTTCTGCAGTATTCTTCCTTTGCATTTGTTTTTCTTGATGCATTCCAGAACTTTGCTGTTTTTACAGAAAGACACCATTCAATAGATCTGTTCATCTTCAATAGACTTTTTCTATTTTAATCTGGAGTCTAACTGAGCCTTGACAAATAGGAACTTCCGTGCTGCAGGTTATAAACGCATGCATTCTTCCTGTACCTTCAAAATACATTTGTCAACCTGAGCCTTTAATTGCTTAGCTATTGCTCTTGTCATTATTTTATATGATAACTAGTACTTTTCTGGGACTGGCGCTAACAAGGACGCTCATCAAGGATCACGCATCCTTTGAGTGTGGCCTGATCATGCCCTTTTGGGGTAGGTTCCAGGAGTCAGTCCTTCCCATAACCCAGTTCTAAGGCAAGGGGACCGGCGCGTGAAGGTGTCCTCTGTGGTCTGCTCTTCAGTTCCTCCAGAAGTCCGTGTGCCCAAATAAATTGAGATCAGTAGAATGTCTCCAGGAAGTCATCCCGCGTCCAAACATCGAATGCTGTCAGCATATCTGAGCCAGGGACCTATGCTTTTATGCAGCAGAGTTCTTTGGCGACTTCTAGAACCTCACAGGCCTCCGCTACTTGGTTACCACACAGGGCCAGGCGGGACCCGAGGTCGCCCTCAGGTCCGGGTCTGGTCGCCTCGGTTCTGTGGTTCGGTGTGGGTGACCTCTCCCGGAGACATAATAGTTCTCAGGGAGAACTCACAGCACGCGGAGGCCAGCGGGAGTCCACCCGCCGCGTCTCCACTCTCTCAGCAGCGGTCGCCCGGGGCGATCCTCTCGCGGGGCCGCGGGTCGCTGGTCGCGCGCAGGGCGATGGGGCGGCGCCGAGCACGCTCCCTGAGCCGCCCGACCTCGCCCCGCGGCCGCCGCACGCGCGCGCCCGGACTGCATTTCCCATAGGCCTGAGCGGCGCGGCCGTGCGCGCCCTCGAGGCTCGAGCACCGCCCAGGCCGCGGGGCTGCGCCCCTGCCCGACCCCACCAGTGCGCGCGCCGCGCCGCAGAGCCTTTGAAAGGCGGCCGGAGGCGCTGGCGGGCCAGGGGGCGATGGCGAGCCTGGGCCACCTGCTGTGCGTGCTGGCTTTGCTGCTGTGTGGGCCCCCGAGCCCCGGGCTATCCAGACCCCATCAGCGAGGCCCGAAGAAACCCATCATCGGTAAGGAGGCCCGGGACCACTCAGGGTGGGGACGGGTGTCGACGAGGGGCAGCCCACGAAGCTGTCACTGCTCCGGAGAGGTGTGCGGATCCCCGACGCCCGCTGTTTCTCATCAAAGCAGCCTGGGGCGGTCCCGTGAACTTTAGGAAGCACACAGCTCAGGCAAAGTCTGGATTTGAGGCTTCCGCTTTTGAGCGAAAAGAATTTTAGGGAGAGCGAGTTGTGAAGCCGAACTGGGATCGATCAAAAGTGTTAAGAGAGACTCTCAGTGTAAAAATGAAACACACGGGAGAGCATGGAGTCTACACAAAAGACTCCACTTCTAATGAACAAGTGGTCATTGTTCAAGAGATGTCCACAGGACCTCCCTCTTTATTCCTGTTCTCTTTTTCCATGATGAGAATTAAGATTGTAAGGAGCATGCAGAGATGTTCTGAACAGGATAAAACCAGAACTTCAAGTGGTTGAGTAGAGTAAGGGGTTAGGATATGTCTTACTGCAAATGACGTGAAACTCCTAGAAAATTAAAGGTGTACCACAGAGAAGGGAGAAACACCTTTATAAACATGAATCCACTCTTGAGTGTTAGCTGGTGGGGGGATTCAACCAGACTCCATTGTGAGGGGTACTTTTCCTGCCCTGTGTCCCCACCATTTTCCCTGCCTTTCTTATCCCAGAAATTCTGCACATGGTTAAATTTACTCACATTTCCTTGGTTGAGGACATAAATGAAGACACAATAAATAAAACAGAAAAGTGAAATAGGTAAGGAGTTAAAATGTGGCTTGGACTTTGCCGTTCTTGGCATCAAGTGGCAACGGTGGTTCTGAGGATCCGAATGCCAGTTCTATTTGAAAAGTAGAGCTTGTAATAGTTTCCAGGATATTTGCATTTCAGATGGTAAAATTGGTTTGCAATCATGTCAGACATTTGAAAAGCCACCAAGGAGAAATTTTGGTTAAAATTGGACAAATGATGTTTATGGGTAAGCATAAGTAGGATTATGCTGTTTGATTGGTGTTACAGTTGAGCACTAAACAGAAACTAGAAAATTTGTTTATGAATTTGGGAATGACCCAGTTTTCAAATGGGTTGCTCATTAACATTTGGAACCTTTCTGCCAAAGCTGTTTCTGGTGATGGTTAGGTTATTCAAGTTGAATCATGTAACATATGTAGTGAATTGTATTTGTAGGTTTAGGGAAAAGAAAGAAAAAAAAAACAATGACAGAAGATTTATTTTATTTTCTAGAGTCGAAGCAACTCTCAGTTGAGTATAGCAAAAGCATGCTTTTGGTTAACCTGATCAATTGCAATTTTTCTTTTATATTTATAGTTATTTTGCATGTGTAGTTTTTCTTTTATATTTACAGTTATCAGCTATATTGTATGCTTGTCACATGCACCTATGAAGGTCAAAAGACAGCTTTAGGAGTCAGTTCTCTCCTCTCTCCATGTGGGCCCTAGGGATTGAACTCAGGTCCTCAGGCTCAGCAACAAGTGCCTGTACCTACTGCTAAGCCATCTTGAAGCCTCCTCTACCCAATCAATTAAGATAATATAGTTGATGGAGCACATAGTCTGTGTAAGCTACTACTTTAGGAAACACAAAGGAGTCAAGGAGAAGATAGCCACAGAAGTTGTGAGATACCCTGAAGTGCACATGGCATTGGGGGCACATGTTGAGAGACAGGGCTTACAGTCTGAACTCTGCCTAAGAATGGGAGAAATGAGTGGGCTGGGGTGTGATGGTGGAATTAATTTACTGTTGCAGGCACTTGGGTTCCCACGATTCTTCATGCAGTCCTTGTAGCACCTCCCCTCCTGCTTTACATCACTCTGTCTCCCAGGGTACTTCTGTGCTCTTCTTAGTTTTCATTGTGAAGACTATCTTACCTGATGGGGAGGAGAGAAACATTCTTACTAGATACATTCGGACATTTGATATTCAGGAGCGATTCCTGTCGACTATTGTAAGACGCCAAGAATACCAATGCGATTGTCTCACTGAGACAGTTCTAGTGACAGGCTGTCTCACAGAGTCACAGATAGTCAATGTGCAGATGTGATGTTTTTTCGTTGTTTACTTTCTGGAGGCCAGGGCTGGATCCAAGACACTGTACATGTTAAGCATGCCCTGTCATTCATTGATGAATGTTGGATGTCAGTGTGCTGGACTTGGGTTTCTCTGGTAAGGGGAATTCAGAGAGATGAGAGGGACAGAGCATGAAGTCGCAGAGCTTATGAAGTTCCAGTAACCTCTGAGGAATATAATGAAGATGGTAGCCCCTATTGGCCTGCATATCTCTCTTCCATTAACAGTTGCCTTCTTGCTTTCTCTGACATATTTCCAGTCTGATGGACTTCTTGCAGAGTGACCGGCTAACTCATGACCTTGGCATGGTACTGTTCTTTGCCCTGAATTTCTCTTCTTCCACATGTGGGTGTATGGTTCATTGCACCACCCCACTGATGCTTTGGATTAAGCGGCACATTGTATCCTTCCCAGAAGGACTTGCTCCACCGCTCTGAAGACTTGTTCTGCTTTCCCAGGGAGGACTTGCCACCCTGTTTAAGGGACATTGTAAATGGAACACCTATTTCTTTGTCTTCCTTCTTGACACAAGCACCAGCCCTCATAATTGGATCTAAAAACAAATCTCTGTATTGTTTGTCTTAACCTCTTTCCTCTTCCACCCACTAGCATTAAAGCCTGCAGGGTAAAGATTTTTCTTTTCTTTTTCTTTAATTCCGGTGTCCTTAGTACCTAGTTCAGTGCCTGGCATACAGTGTGATTAAGCCATAGTGAATGGATGAGGGGACGGTGATGTCATCAGCTTTATTTCTGTGGGAAACTAAAGTTTGAGGGCTTTTTCAGAAAGGATAAAGACCTGTTAATAGTCTCAATGAGTGTGGTGAATGCTGGTTACCTAAATAGATGGAGATGAAAGGTATTTCCACCTTGACTTTGCTGACAAGTATAGAAATGTGTCTTTGTGGGGCAAGGGGTTGGCACCCTATAGACTTAGTGAGTTGTCTACGGTTGTGTGAAGAAAGCTGGGGCTATTATAAATGTACTTTGGGGACTTCTGGAACATTCCTGGTGTGGTAACAAACTGCGATCACCCTTCTCCACTGCTCTCCCAATGACTATATGTAGACTTGGAGGAGATGCAGATCTGTGAACTGAGAAACCAAAATAGTGACATATGCATTATGCCGCCATTCAGTTTTGAGGAAGAAATAAATTACATTGCTTGAAATTAATACTTTTTTTGAAATTTAGGAGTATTAATGCAAAAATGCAGTAGCAAGGAGATGAGAAACCTGGGAAAATACTACATTGCTGCATCCTATGTGAAGTACTTGGAGTCCGCAGGTGCGAGAGTTGTACCCATAAGGTATGCTTCTGGGATTTCCGCCAAGGGTGTAAAGAGTCGTCTTTTATCTCTAAAATGACTTTCCTATGATTGCATCATTAAATGGAATGATGATGCCTTTGATTTCAGTCATAAACTTATTGCCTGTAGACTCCCATTAAGTTGTTTTTAAAGTTCTGTGTGTCTATAATGTCACTGAAAGTATGCTATATGTCTGTTAGCATTGAGAAAGACATGATCGCTTCCTTCACCCCAGAAAAGACACTCCTCACAGACACCATAAAAATCATAGTAGAGGGCTGGAGAGATGGCTCAGAGGTTAAGAGCACTGGCTGCTCTTCCAGAGGTCCTGAGTTCAATTCCCTGCAACCACATGGTGGCTCACAACCATCTGTACTGAGATCTGGCGCCCTCCTCTGGCATGCAAGCATACATTGAGGCAGAATGTTGTATACATAATAAATAAATCTTTAAAAAAAAATCATAGTAGAATCTCCAGTTTAGTCAGCTTCCTGCTGACTACTAGCATAAGGGAACACTTCAGGGATGAAGGACGTATTTTAGAAGATGACTATAAATATACTTTCCCATCTGCTGAAAGTTTGTCAGTGATGACTGTATTAGTATTGCTGTAGGGTCAATGAGAGGTATTTTAGTTTTAAAGGAGTTCAGTTTGGGGTTGGAGACATACATGCCCCAGTGGTTAAGAGTACTTGATGTTCTTCCAGAGCCTCCCTGAACCTGTGTAGGGCAGCTCACAACCACTTGGAGCTTTAGCTCTGTGGATCCAACTCACATGCTTGCATACACACAAACACACACACACACACACACACACACATGCTTAAAGAAATATAGTAATAAAAACACCTTTACAAAAGTATTTATTTTATGATAATATGACTGAGAAAAATAACACAATCTTATACTTTCAGCTCAAAGGCATTGATTTAATCACTCATTTTTCACTTGAAAAAAGTTAAACAAAAATCTTGTAAGCACACTTACTTTGTCAGCTAAAATCAGTGCATGAGAATCTTGTAGAATTCTCATCTAATCTATTGTGAAAATTCATGCACAAAACACTATTGCAACCTATTGTGCAAATAATTGCAATAAGGAGTTATAATTTATATACTATTAGTATTCAAAAGGCAAATATTATGATTAGAGCAGTGGTTCTCAACATTCCTAATACTATGACCTTTTAATATAGTTCCTCGTGTTGTGGTGACCCCTCGCTATTAAATTGTTTTCTTTTGCTACTTCATAACAGTAATTTTGCTACTGTTATCTGTCCTAAAGTAAATATTTTTGGAGATAGCGGTTTACTAAAGGGGTTATGACTCACAGGTTGGAGAATCTCAGATTTAAGGTTTTATAAAAAAAAAAAAACAAACCAGTCTTTATGTTGAGATTCCTAAGGATTGTCTTGTTTCACCTTTCACATTTGACAACTGTCTTTACCCTTAAGGTTCGTGTTTAATTTGTTGGTGCTGAATCTGATCTCAGTGAAATTATTTACTCAAGTTATAGAGCTGAGTAAGAGGCCCCCGAGAGTCTCCAGCACAGTGTTTCAAAGTTTATGGAAGTTTTAAACCCCTATTTCAGAGGTTGTTGCCGATGTGGGAAAGACACTGCAGAGCCATCACAGTGGGCAGTCCTGTCCAGAGGCTGCTGAGAGTGTGGGTGAGAAATAAAAGACGGGGGTGCTGCTGAGGTTATGAGTTGATAGGTGCGTGGCCTTAAAAATCAGTAAAAATGATGACTCATCAAATACAAGGGTGCAGAGAAAGAAATAGGTGGGAGTCTTGAAACCAGATGACTTGTGGAATATTAGCAGTTATGACAAGATACTGAAAACCTGATTGGCAGCATGTGGGCTAAACTCCAGCGCTGGCACTAAAGTTGATTTTCAGACTTACTCCTTGAAATTGGGATCATGTGATCCTGTAGTAACTATAATGTATGGGGCAGAAATTCTATGTGTACAATGAAGAGAGTTTTTTGCAGCATTACTGTTAGATTGGTTGCTGGGGACACTTTCTGGTAGAGGGGAGAAGGTGGATGGGAGACCTGGGCAGAATTCTGCTGTAGGTGATGCTTGGCCTTGGTTTCAGCCTACCCTTTCTGATCACCTTTCTCAGGACTTGGTACTTTCAGGTTGCCATTCCCAACTGTGGGACTATTAGAAAAGACGGGGTCCTGAAAGGTTGAACACCACAGCCCAAGCTGGCCCATCTATTTTAGAATACACTCAGTCAGTTCACAAAGCATTTAAAATAGTTCTGAACATTTATAAATCAGAAGACTAAAGTTTTGGCTTTTGAAAATAGTTCCCTAGGTCTTCCTGTCAGTAGGAGAGCTGTTGCCGTCAGGCACTGGTGACCCCATGGCTTTCCATGCTACTGAAGCTAGACTTGTGCCATCAGTACTGGGCTCATTTTGATTGTGGAGAGAGGAAGTTATTTCTCATAACTGTTGAGAAGGTTTTTTAAAATTTCTCTGACAGTTTCATGTATGTATATCATGCATTATGATCATGCCACTCATTCCTACCCTTTTAAAAATAATAGTTCAAAGTGTCATTGAAATTTTCATACACGTATACAATGTATCCTGATCATATTCACCCCTTCCCTCTTCCAACTTCCTGTAGGACTCCCAGCCCACACCAAGTGCATTTCCCTTTCAACTTCATGTCTGTTGAAAAAATACATTTTTCAGTCAGTACATCCAATTAAGGGCTCATATTCATATCCAGTGGGGCATGGACAACCTACCAATATCTCAAAAGAAAAGTGACTCTCCTCTCCCATCAGCCACTAACTGCCATCAGCTCCTTAGCTAGGGGTGGGGCCTTGATAGCCCCTTCCCCATATCTGCTGGAACTTTTAACTGGCTTGATCTTGTGTAAGTTTCATGCCTGTAACCATAGCTACTGTGAGTTCAGCCATGGGTTTTAGCTATGTTTACAGTACCATTGATGGAAGCCCTCTTGTGGGACAGGCTTCAAATTCAAGCAAAGGAATGGTTGTTTATTCTCACAGACAGTCTCGCCACTATTGTTCCAGTGGGTGCATCTTTCTTGGCAGGTCTGTTATTTCATCATGTAGAATCTAGTGCTAGGTAAGACTGTTGGTGTCTTTCCTCTGCCAGAAGCCAGTGTAGCATCTTTCAGTGCCAGGAAAGCTAGCCAGCAGGAGAACTTCCTGCTCAGTTTAAGACTGATTTCTTTGTGTCCTACAACCAAAGTGTATGATGTTGTAAGCAGCCTTGTCTTTTACTATTTCCTCCCACCCCTGCCAACCACCCTCTCATCCCAGCCAACCCCTTCCCATCTTCACGTCTGCTTTGTTTTTGTTTTGTAACCCTCCTGGTTTAACCAGTGGACAATGTGTGGAGTTCTCCCCTGGAGCCTGTGTCAAAGTCCATCCCCAACATAAACTATCTGTCTGAGCCCACATGGAGGCATGGGAATAAAGACACAACTCACATAGCTTTATTAGGAGTGAGATTCTTAGTGAACCCTCATGAAATCCTGAGTTCACATACTGAAAATTCCTCTGCATTTATTCTCCAAACAGCCATATATATCAAAACATAAACTGAGGGGGAAATTCACTAGCATTCTGTTTCCCAGGTAACCAGGTGAATGGCTTTAGTCATGCCCACACCTTTGACCACACCTCTCTATGCCCATTTTGTCACATCTTTCTATCTTCTTGCTCTGTATGCCAGCTCTGTCACGCAGGCCGGAATCAGCATCTCTATCCCAGGACAACTGGACTTGGATGTTCTAGAATAGCAGCAAGAACTTTATACTGTTGAACCATTTCTCCAGCCCCAAAAAACTTTCAAATTTTTTGTCTTTATATAAAATGGCTGAATATTTTTAGGTTTCTTGGCTAATAGATATTACTAGTGTCCGGTGTTTGATTATATTAGCATCTACTTTAAAATATTGAATGTAATTAATCCCAGAAAAACATTAACATTTCTGATTAGCTACACAGGGTATAATCCTGTGATTTTCATAGCTTGACAAGAATACCTCTAGAGTGGAAATGCAGTATTGTCTGATATTTAGGTAAAAGTTTTGTAGCACTTGCCCTGTATGTTCAAGGCCTTGGGTTCAATCTGCAATATCTAAAAAGACTTAATTTTTTATTTAAATGTTTAAAAATTAAGGTGGTGACTTCTTTTTTCTTAGGCTTCAGAAATGATTTCCTTTATAAAACTGTTTTTTTTTTCAATTATTTTCAGGCTTGATCTTCCACTTACACAGTATACAGAACTTTTCAGATCTATCAATGGGTAAGTTGGCTTGATATTGTATCAAGTCTTAATACAGTGTGTCAGTGTGCACATATTAAAGTTTTCTGATAACTTCCCAAGTGCTTCTGTTGACTGTTTTGAAGGGAGATGTAAAGCTGCAGCGAAGAATGAGAGGTAGGACAAGACCTGAAGGCTGAAGCCTGTACTGTAATTCCAGTTCTCTGGGAGCCCGAGAGAAGAGAGCAGAAAGTTCACCAGTCTGAGAAAGAAAAAGACAAGAAGGCCGGGAGTGCAGCCCAGTGGTAGAGGACTTGCCTGGTCCTTAAGGTTCAGGGTTAGTCATAGTCCTGAGCAGGAAGCAAGTAGGAATGTGTAATTGTTACTTACGGGACCCATGATTTTTAACTTAATTTTTGTTTAAGTGCCTAAATATTTTGAAATATTCAAGTCCTATGTCTGAGATTACTGGTTGATCATCTTTCAGAGGTAATTTGAATAGTTCTTTAAAAAATTTCTCTGCTTCACCATAAAATATGTGAGTAGTTAGCCCATAAAACGGGATTTGAAATCCAATGAAAACTACTTTTCGTTGCTTTCAGCTTGAGGAGTTGTGTTAAGACACCTAGAAAGTTAAGGTACTGACATCATCCCAGAGACTGACTCCCTCTCCACAGCACAGACTCTGAAGCTGGGCATTAGATTGGTGAAAATTACACTAGACAGTTGTAATTTACTGTCTCTGAATGGAAACAGAAAAAATAAAGTATAATAATGTAAGCTCAAAAAATACTTTCCCTGAGGTAACGCGGAGTGAACTTCACACTGTCTTATGGGAGAACACATACCAGACAAAGTATGGAGCCTGTGCTCAGGGAGACTGTTATCTGGGGATGTTGGGCCAGTTCTACTGTGTAAAGAACTATAAGGTCCCATGAATTAGGTGTGGTCAGAGGCAGCTTTTAAAATCCAAGCTTAATGGGGATTGGTCTCCTCCAGTCATCCAGGGTTTCCTGCTGTGGTCTGGAGTAGTGTTTCAGCACACAGACTTAGTTTCCTGACAATGGAAACCAGTCTTGTCACAGACTGACACCAAGCCTGAATCATAGAAGAAGAATGATGTATTTCTTCAATGCAAAAATGGCCTCTGGCTGGTAAGAGGGCCTAAATGTGCTTGTCACACAAGCCTAGTGAGCTGAATTCGTCCCCACATGTGGAAAGAAAACATACATTCTGTGCTCATACGCCTCTCTCTCTAACACACACACACACACACACACACACACACACACACACACACACAGATAAATTCAAAATAAAAGACTCCAGCATAATATTACAAACTGATATTCAAATATTTTTAGAACTTTAGAACTTAATATGTTTAGTCCAACTTTTGTTGGCCAGAAAAGCCAGACCACTTTTGAATAGCCTTTGTTATCTCAAGGATATATTGAAAACTATTGTATTTTCAATATAGTGGTTATTTCAATATGTGTTAAAGAATTAAAACATTTAACATTAATCTAAAAACCTGATATAAAAGCATCATAATTTTTTTATATATTTTATTTATTTGGTTAGAATGAAAAGAAATTTAACATTTGTGACTCATCTAAGACTTCTGAGAATGACAATTGTGTGGATTGTCAAGATTTCCTAATGCAGTGTTCATTTCTTTCTTTGTGTGTGTGTGTTTTGAGACAGGGTTTCTCTGTGGCTTTGGAGCATGTCCTGGAACTAGCTCTTATAGACTAGGCTGGCCTCGAACTCACAGAGATCCGCCTGCCTCAGCCTCCCAAGTGCTGGGAATAAAGGCGTGCGCCACCACTGCCCAGCTCTGTGTTTATTTCTTAAGAAGTGTCAGGACTGTGAAGAAGCAAATTCTTGTAGACATTTAATTCTAATCAAAGTAAATGTTCTGATTATTATGTGCTTTGTAGTCTTATTCTCTCTTGGGACTTAAAATAGATGTGTATTTATAGTTGGCTTGGCCTTACTGATCACCTTAATCATAGCCAGCCACACCTGGAGATTTGCTTCTTCATCTCCACCCTCTTCAGTCTCTCTCCCTTTATTTTTTCTGCTTTTGTTTTGTTCAGATTATATTTTGTTCAACGAGCTTGTCTATTGAAGTTTTAAGAGAATATGTGCAAAATTATTAACCACAATAGTTTCTGAATGGCTAGAATTATAAATATTATATATGTATACTTGAGTATATATATGGTAATTATGTAATAGTAATAACGACATTTTTAAATGAAGCATATTTATTTACTTGGTGAATGGAGAAAAATATATCTTAATTGATTTTGTTTCAGAATCCTTTTTCCTGGAGGAAGTGCTAGCTTATCAGAGTCAGAGTATTCCAATACAGCCAGAATATTTTTCAACAAGGCCATAGAGGTAAATCTGCTATTGCTTATCACTCCAAATGGGTTGTCTCTTTTCATAAAGATGACTATCTTTCATAAAGTATATAGTCTTGCTTCCTTCACAGATACTCCAGCCTTATTCCCCTTAGCAGTCAGACATGTGCTATGCAGGAATCAAGTATCTGTTTCAGCCTGTTATTTTTGCTTCATGTAATTTAGGGATTCTAGGAGTGAGCCACACCTCGTAGCTAGTAGAGCTAGTAGCAGAGCTAGTACAGCTTGTCCCTCTCTTTGATCTGTTCTTTTATGTACCGGGTGTGATGCCTGCACTACTAACTCCCCTCTTCTTGGTTGTTCCATCCAGCTTCACCCTTCTTCAGAGCCACATGTTGACACCAGACACAGCTCATGCTAGAGAGGTTTTATTCTGAGCCAAGTACAAGTCAAAGATAAAGAGTTACAGAACAAAAGGAGTTTAAAAACTGGTTTGCCAAGTTGATGGTGACACACTACAGTAGAGCAGACAGGTCTCTTATGTGAGCTTCAGGTGCTAGCTTACAAAAGTTTTAGCTTTAGGGCTGAGGAAAGCCAGATATTTGCTATGTTCAGCATTGTATTTCAAAGACTGTAGCTAATAGTAATAAACATATCAAGTGAGGCACAGAGGTTGGTAATAAATGCCTATTAAAACAGATTAAAGATAGCTCAGGATAATTCGGGCTCTTAGTCTGCAGCATGCTGTCTTGACACAGGCACAAAGTTCTAGTTAGTCAGTCTAGACTCTGCAAGACACATGTGGCTTTATCAGAGAACGTCAGTGCACATACGTCGGGCCCTGTCTGTTAGCCATGCAGAGCCCGTAGCCACTATACATGCCTCGCCTTGGACTTGCACTTCTGCCATAGTTTCTTAGATTCCTGTTTCTCCCTTAAAATATTGTTAGCAATTTTTCATTTATTGTTTCTGGCCTCTCCTAAACATTTTCCTCAATAACAACTCTTTTGAGATACTTGCTTAATAACTTTTAATAGCTAGACTAAATAACTCATGGCCTTTAAAACTCTTTGGGTCAAGACATAATGTCCCTACAACTGCCTTTTTCCAACCTGCCTCATAGTATTTCTGAAGACAGATTAAGTGTAGCCTACTTATGAATCCCAGAAAATTCTACAGAAATCTGTGTTGCAGTAATAACAAGCAATATTGTGCATTTCTTGTTAGAGACAGACGACAGACAAAGACATACCTGCAAAGTTTGAATGAACATAGTTTTCTCTTTTATTCTCCCAAAGAGTTATGACGATGGAGACTATTTTCCTGTGTGGGGAACATGCCTTGGATTTGAGGAGCTTGCTTTTCTGGTTAGCGGAGAGAGCTTACTAACGCTTACAAACACTGTCTCGGTTCCATTGCCATTGAACTTCACTGAAGGTAAAAATATACTCCAACTCTTCTAAAAATATTTCTCAACAGCACTAGTAAACACTGAGTATCAAGTCAGAAATATTTATTAGTCTTTGAATTATTTGGCGACCAAAGCCATGAATTCACTCTGTTACTCATTTGTGGAGATGACAGGAAAGTTTGTCTTTTGATAATTAATATATTGCTTCTATTGGTCTCAGGATCATGTCATTAAGAATTCAGAAACCATCAGTTTCTCTTAGTCTCATGTCTTTTCACTGAAAAAGTTTTTACCTCTATAAATTCTTTCTGAGAATTAATCAAAATGATGATTTCCAGTTTGCATGTGTAATACTTAAAGTACAAATCTTTTAAGTAGATATTATTGTTCTCATACCAGAATTCTCTCTTTGTCTACACATGTTGTTTTGTCTTGAATGTATTATATTACAGTTTTATTCTGGTACTAAACACTTGGAATTAGCAAGACTTCACAAATTAAAGGGCTCGGTGCCCAACAAGACCATTGTGTTTGTGTGCTACCGAAAGACAAATCACCAGGCTACACACACACTCTTGCTAGTTGCTGTAACTTCACAGAACTCAGGAAGGTACTTGTATTTGCTTACCGTCTTGGAACTTCCATGAGCTTGGGTTTCTAGAGTTCCAGAATTTTTATTGACATTTTCTTTCAAAGCATGTTTGAATTATTGTTCAAATGGCTGAATTCAGTCTCCTGAACCTCTCCCATTTCCAGAGTTTGGGCTGGTTGAAAGTCCTCTAGTCACTGATTAGTCTATCTGGTAGTCAGCCCCATTCTGAAGTAATGTAAGGTTAAGTATTAATCATTTCAATAGTATAATATTACTCATGAAATTTCAGTGGTTTGAGACACGCTTAGAAATCATAAACAAATTCCATTCAAATTTTAGGTCATTTTGATTAAGTACTACCGACTATAGATATTCTCATTAAGGATTTTGGGAGGGAAGAGTAGTGATCATTCATAGAATTCATAGAATGTCCCATACATTCAAAAGTCTTATTTTCATTATTTCAATCCTTGCAAGAGTATTATGGGAAGTATATGTTTAAGGTTGGGCTTTTGGGGTTGCAAATAACAGAAGCCCAGTTTATACAGCAAAGCAATTATTCAGGGTACTTGGGTTCTCAACTGAAGCTGTTAGCAAGAATGTGAGCCTGGCTTGGCATCAGCCTTGAACACTCTAGGGCTGTGTTTTCACTCCTCTGCAGGTATTCTGATCTCTGTGCCTAACTATAGTCCCCCATGCCTCTCCCATTCCCAGAGGATGGCTACTTCAAAGTTCTCTAGTCACATGGTTAGTCTCTGGTAATCAGCCCCATTCTGAGGTGGTCCGTGGAGAAACACTGCTTCCTTTGTCTGTTTGCAGAGCAGATCTTTTCTTTGGCTTAGTTGGTGCTCCTTCCTCCTTAGTTGGTATGCTTAACCTTTCTTCAGTTGATTAAACTCGTTGTTTGTCAGTTTCGTACATGAATATAATGTATATTTATTCTCCCACACCCTCTCATCTCCCACTCCTCCCTCCTACCCATTAACTGCTCTCCTCCCTTTCCCTCATTTATGTCTTTTTGATTTTTGTTTTGTGACTCACTGATTTTAACCACGCCTCTCTGTGATCATGGGTTTTGAAAGGCATTTCACATTCCTTCTGTCTGTTGACCTTTACACCTTTTCCTCCTCCTGCTGCCATGTCCCTTGAACTGTGGAGAAGGTGGGATGAATGTCCTGTTTTGAACTGAACATTCTTCTGACCTTTACACTTTTCCGCCTCCTGCTGCCATGTTCCTTGATCTGTAGAGAAGGTGGGATGAATGTCCTGTTTAGGACTGAATATTCTTCTGACCTTTACACTTTTCCGCCTCCTGCTGCCATGTTCCTTGAACTGTGGAGAAGGTGGGATGAATGTCCTGTTTAGGACTGAACATTCTTCTGACCTTTACACTTTTCCTCCTCCTGCTGCCATGTCCCTTGAACTGTGGAGAAGGCGGGATGAATCTCCTGTTTAGGACTGAGCATTCAAGCATCACTTATTCTCATCACTTTGATGATCCACGAGTCTACATTCATTGCAAAGAGAAAATTCTTTAACTAAAGGATAGCATTTGTCTGTAGGTATAAACACAAATATTTAGATTGTGGTTTGTCATCATATCAATTTAGCTAAACAGCAGTAGTGAGTTTCCCTTTAGGGCCCATGATCTTCTCAGCATCCATGTTATACATGCATTGGGCCAACCACAGGCACTTCTCTGGAAACACTGTGTTTTGTTCACCATTTACTCATCCTGATTGTGCCTTAATAATGTCTGCTGTTTAGTTGAAGGTCAGTGACTCAGTGGATTTTATTTTTTCATGTATAAGTCATTTCTCCATACTTAAATTATTTTACATGCCTGGATTTTATAGGCCCAGGCATATATTTTCTCCTATGAAGGCAGCCTTAAATCTAATCTAAGAGAAGTTGCTTTACTGCCTTAGCAATCATGACACTTATCATACCAAGGAGCATATCTTACTTTTCAGGTTGGCACTGTAGTTTACAGGGTTCACAGCTGGGTGAAGCCATTGGTGCCTTTTCTCTCTCAACAACTTGCACGGCACTTTCTGGCACTATGCAAGCTCTCAGCAGGGAGGAAGCTTCCATCCCAGTTCCAGCTTGGTTTCATCATTTTATGTATCCAAGGGGTGTGGTATCCTCAGCAACAGGATCTTACTGTTTAGTTCTGGGGGCAACTGGGAGGAATGGAAACCGCTTATATTTCTGTAGGAGTCTCGTTTTCCTCCCTGACCAGCAATTAATGCATAAGGCTGTGTCTCACACCTACCACTGGGATTTGTAGAAGCAGCATTTCCTAGTCATGCAGGGTGTCTCTTTTTTTCTTTTTTTAAATGTATACATTTTAAAAGAAGATTTATTTTTCCCTCTTTCTCTCTCTCTCTCTGTCGTTTGTGTGTGTGTGTGTGTGTGTGTGTGTGTATGTGTGTATGTGTGTGTGTGTGTGTGTATACACCAGAAGAAGGAGTAGAATCTCCTGAAGCTGGAGTTAGAAGTGATTGTGAGCTGCTGTACATGGATGCTAGGAATTGAGCCTGAATCCTCTGCAAGAGCAGCAAGTGTTCTTTACTGCTGAGTCGTGTATCCAGCTCTGTCCCTGAAAAGTTTGAATTGGTTTACAAAGCAGTAGGTTCTCTAATGGCCTTTGGTTTTCATTAATCTGTTCTCCATGTCCTCTTCTTTTAAGTTCTCTATACTTTTGAAAATACATTGGAAATGCTACGTCCTTTTCTGGGAACACAAGCATACAGATTTGGAAATTGTTCTTATTTTTCAGAGGTTTCTGAGACCCAGAGTTAAGATTCTCTGTTCTTTCATGGCTAGCCTATTTGTAGTTATTCATATTAGAAACTTAAGACAGGGAATTCCATCTGGAGCATATCACCTTTGTATCCATGTTTGCCAGGCCTTGGCCCGACTGCACGGCTTACCATTTACTCATCTTAATTATGTCTTAATAATGGCTGCTGTTCGGCTGCAAGTAAGTGACTTAGTAGGTTTGATATGTTTATGTGTTTCAGTCATTTCTCTGTGCTTAAATTATTTTAGGTGCGTTACGGGGCAGAATGTTCCGGAATTTTCCTGCCGAGTTATTGGTGTCACTAGCATTAGAGCCTCTGACTGCAAATTTTCACAAGTGGAGCCTCTCTGTGAAGGTATCCCATGGTTACACCACCAGTAGCATCTCCTTGGGGAGAAGAACACATTTAGGAGAACTACGGAATTGACCCCTGTTCTATTCTTATATTTTAGAACTTTACAGAAAATGAAAAGTTAAAGAAGGTTTTCAATATATTAACAACAAATACAGATGGCAATATAGAATTCATTTCATCTATGGAAGGTATGTGCCACTATAGAGCATATAGACTTAAAATTTTCTCGCTTTAATTTTATAGACCTCTTTTAATTTTATAGACCTCTTTTCTTGGGAGTGAAGTTATGTGACTTTAGAGTTCAAAGACAGAATGTTCTGTCCACATTCCAAATCAGGTGAGGTTGACCTGGGGTGATGATGGAGAAGAGGAGTGAGGATCAAGGAAGGGTGAGGATGAAGAACCAGATGGAGATGACACTCTGTCATTTAAGTCAGTGCACATCTCTGTGTTCCTCATTGTGAATGGTCTTTGAAAACAACTTTGAGTTAATAAAAAAAACACACGACAAAATATATACTATATTTTTGTTTGCTTTTTAAGGCAGTCTCTCTCTGTAGTGCAGGCTAACCAGGAACTCTCTGTCCCAGGCTGGCCTCCAGCCTGTAGCGGTCTTCCTGTTTCAGCCCGCTGAGCTTTGTGGTAACAGGTGTGTGCTACCATGTTTCCTCCTAGATGGTGATATCTATTGAATTTAGTTTTCATTTCTATGATCTTTCAAAACATGATGTCAGGGCAGATCTATAACTCTTGATGGTAACTTGAAAATATTTTTCATAGAGGAGACGTACAATTATTATAATAGTTATTGCACCAAAGAGGGGATTTGCAAGTGTTGGTCACACTTGATTGTTTTAGTGTGTGTGGTGGTGAATATGGTATTTAAGAGATGTTACTTTCCTGACTTTATGTTCTGTCTCTCAGAATGTGTGATGACTGCATGGCTGTGAACTTAAATGGGACCCTCTGTGAGAAAAGGTTGATGGGGTATTTGGAGGAGCTGGAAACAGGAAAGGGACCCAGAGACAGAAGACACTTTCTCTGCTTTTGTATCATGTAGATTCTTTGATTTGGTGAGGCTGGAGAGAGCAACGTGAGAGGACAGAGTCCTAGGGAGGAGAATACCACAGTAAGGTGGGGCAGTGATTGTTACTTGGAGATTGGCCTTGCCACTGTGACTTCGTCTGTTTTATGTTGCTGTGACTGAATCTCTGAGACAGCATAATCTAAAAGGAATAGAGTTTATTAATCTCCACTTTTCTGGAGGTTAGTGGGTTCTGGAACATAGTGTTAGCATCTGGTGAGGACTTCATGACTATAAAGAGCATCACTGAGTTTCATATGGCAAATCATGAAGGGATGTCAGGGCAGTTTTCCTGCTTACAGAATCACTGATGTTATAATGGCCTCACCTGTCTAACCTGTTCTAATCCTAATTCCTACAGGTTCCATTTCTGTATACCAGTAACAAGATTTAGGAATTAACTTTCCAGCATCCAAATCTGGGGAAATACTCCTAAACCATAGCATATTTGTTAAATCAAGAGGTGGGAGAAATGTCTATTCAGGAAATCCCGAGAAATGTTGGTCAGCTCAGGGTGAAGTGAGGTTGTCATCTTTCCACCCAGTTGCTAGTATTATCACCTTCCAAACGTCTTGCAGTAGAAATCTTGAGTCCACTTTGGCTTCCCTGCCTCATTGCCGGCTTCTAAAAACTTTAAGCTGATTTCTGTTTCCCAAGTCTATCTTGTATAGACTTTCTCCTCTCTACCCAGCTTTCTCCTAACTGCCCATACCTTGCACGTAGGCATGAAATCTCACTGAGAAACAAGCCTCAAATTACTTGGTCATGTAACCCATGCTCTCTGCTGCTTTCCCTGCATACTGTGTTCCTTTGAGATTGTACATCCATTTCTGCCCTCTCCAGACAGAGCAGTGTTTCCCACCTCTCTTTCCTCCCATATTTTCTCATGTCACCCAAAGCTCCTCATGTCCCTGATGCCTTCTGGTAAGCTCTCTCCTGCCTTGAAAAACTCAAGCTAGCTATCTTATCTTTGAGAAGCCTTCATCATTTTCCTCTTCATGTCTTGGTGCTCTGTGTGTTTTCTTTGTGTTCCTTGGGCATGTTGCTCTTTACTTGTATTTGTTCAAGCTCTGTCTTTCCATTTAGACTAAGGGCCCACTGAGAACTGGAGTTTTGTCTTTGCTTTTTCTAGGGCTTTGGGGGAAAACAGAGATAATGAATGAATGGCCATTTAAAATATAAAGTTGGAAATTAGAGATTTGGGTTCCTTGGTTCTTCTGATCATGTCATCATACCAGCCTGATACTTTGATGACAGCCGTGAGTTAGGAGCCCTTGATGCTCTACTTGCATATTTTTATCTCACTTTTGATCTTGTTCTAAATTAGTGACACGGGTTATAATTTCTACAGTTGCAGAGGAATACCTTTGGGCTCTCAATAACCATTTTCTAAAGAGCAAGTCTTACTTGTTTCTGAATGTCAGCATCTATATGTCTCTGTGTGCCTGATTATCAGATAAATCCTCATTTAGACATGTTTAACCTCAGCCTTGCTTTTGACTATGAGTACTCCCAGAACAGAGACAGTGCAGCGGCATGAGAGGGAGAAGAGGCAGAGGGATGTGAGGGGTGTGTGTTTAGAGCTGTTCGCTGGCTGTGTTTGCTTCTTGTGCACTCCAGTAAGGCTGGATGTAGTGTTTACTTTCTCTCAAGCTGCTGTGCAAGTGGAGAGTCGGAGTGGGGTGTGAGAGGATGGCATTCTTTCTCTGGACGGCTGTGTTCTCCAGGTGCTTTCTGAGAGCCATCACAGTTTCCATTCTAAAGCACGGAAGGGGGAGGGGCAGACCTTGCTTTCTATTCAAACGAGGAAAGACACATGTGGATAAAGACTTTCAGAGATATATACTGTCCTAAAAACCTGAAACTGCTAAAGCATGTAGGAAAGGTGAGGAAGTGATGCATGGCATTTTCTCAGTTCTAACCAGTCAGCATGCAAGGGGCCATTCTCGTATATGACTTCCTCCCCACACAGAACTGTTTTCATCCTAATCTAAAAGTTTAAATAATTTTACTTAGCTAAGAGTATGTAAAATATCTAAGAGTTCTAAACATAATTGACCTACAATCACGCAGAGTACAGCTGTTTTTAAACTATCAAAGTTTATTTTAGCAATTGTTTCCCTAAAGCCACGAATCATCCCATAGGCTGAGACAGGTTGGTGAATATAAAAATGATGGCATGGATTGTTCTTATTTCCCTAAGTCATCATGGGATTAGGAAATGTATGAAGAGGGGCAAGGTGCAGACCTACAGTTGTGTGTCACCATCTGAGTGTGCACTCAGGCCTGAAGATAGAACTCACCGGTGAAATGTATACCTGGCGTGGGTGTGGTCCTAGATTAGATGCACAGTCAAAGAACTGGAAGGATTCCCAGGTCAGCTGTTGTACTTCACTCTCATTTCCTGGAAATACAACTCACATTCACGTTTTAAGAGGATACATACAAATCAGTGAGATGCCCTGGCCATGAGCATCTCACTTTGTGTGAGACCATATGTGCAACTTTTGGGGTTTGTGATTTTGGTGAGTTGTAATGTTTTATATAGCATTTCTATGAAACAGTATAGGAACACCATCACAAACCATTCTTTGTGCTTACTGGTGTGTGTTCTCCACCCAGGATTTACGTATCCAATATATGCTGTCCAGTGGCATCCTGAGAAAGCCCCATATGAGTGGAAGGACTTGGAAGGTATTTCCCACGCACCAAATGCTGTGAAGACTGCGTTTTACTTGGCGGATTTCCTTGTTTCTGAAGGTAATGTGTGAATGGGTGTATGATCTCTTTACTCCATTATGGCTTTGCAGGGAAACTGTGTGCCTTTCTCTTGGCTCCTGTATATTTTATATTCTTTAGCGGTTAAATAAGGTCTATAGATTTAGTTAGAAAATATTAAATAATGTGAAGACCTTGAAATTGAGATATTAGGTAGTCATTAAAAATCAGGGCAACTATATTTAACAGAGTCATCTGTGATCTAGTGGCCTGAATCCTTGTACAGTGATTTAAGAATGTGGAGTTTTTATTTCTCCTTGAATACTTTCAATTCTGATTTTTCAAAAACAATGATATAGTTATAATAACTTTGGGGGCATTATTTGTTATTTTTTCAAGACAATGATATAAATGGAAGTATATCATGTCACAGCCTGGGGTTTTATGATTGTCTGTCTGTAAGCAATGGGATACTGAGAAAAGTTACTAGCCTGGATTTTCATGCATTCTATATTTGTGGTTGAATGGAGAATTTGGGCGTAGGTATGTTGAGTGATATTGGTGAGAGCATAGAGGCAGTATGCAGGGGACAGACATCATTGAGGTGACCAGTTGAGGACTCGATGAGCCCAGTGTTCATCTTAGACCCAGCTTCCCCCTATACTTTTTGTCTACCTTCTTGCTCATATTAGAAATCTAACAAACTCTATCTGGTCTGTGTTTGGAATGATATATACTTGAATGGAGGAATTTGTGAAAAACATCCAATACGTAGTGTTGGTCCAAAGGAGCATCTTCCTCTTTGGGGGGGAGTGGACAGCCTTAGTGGGCAGAGCAGGCTTTGCTGTAGCTTAAATCTTATAGTGGTTGTTGGATCTATATCTGTCAACATGCTTTATAAAAATATCAGGACCTGTATTGACCCTGACATTATTCTCAAAGCTTAGTTCTCACCCGTCTACAGACTTCTCACTGACCTCCTTTGTTGAATAATTCTGCCTTGCTTCCTCTGCTGGCACTCACGTTAGTTTCTCCACTCCTTTAACTTGTGCACCCTCCCAGTGTAGATGTGCTATGAAGAGTCCACTCAGCTATGCTTCCTTCCCTGGTAATGGATCCATGTCCTGTCTCTACATTCATCCCAGGCCTCTATCAAGTCCTGTGCACATGTAGCCTTGTAATGAATGGTAGGCTGAATCGGGGGCGAGAGCTCTAACAACAGCGACTGTAGTTACATCGGCACAGTTGTATTGGTATTGTATGCATCTCTGAGGCATTTTTCTTCTTGCGCTTTCTTCCCCAGTGAATAGTCCTGCTCTCAGGAAGAACTATTATAGAGCAGTCTTTTGAAAATCTTGTCAACCAATCTTTTTTAAAAAATGAACATTATTTTTCTAATTTTTCTCTTGCAGCTCGGAAGAACAATCACCGCTATGAAAATGAATTTGAGGAGATGAAATCCTTGATTTATCAGTTCTCTCCAGTTTATACTGGAAATATTTCTTCATTTCAGCAATGTTACATGTTTGACTGAAAGTCTTCATTTGGTAACAAAGCAACTTGGCATAATTCAGTGTCAGGGATTTCTGTCTACAGATTGAATTGCTAAATCACTGCTCACAGCACTGTGAGAAGGCCACACAAATTCCTTTTCTGTGCCTGCTTCTGATTTACTTAATACATGATTATTTTTTATCAGATTTGATAATTTGACAATGAAAAAGATAAATAGTAATGGTGTCTTTCATAAATAACTTTTTGGTGTCTAAAGATTAGAAAAATGTAATTTTTTAAAAATATACTTTTTGTGTGATTTCTTATTGTTTTCAGGAGTAAAAGCCACCCCAAATCTACCCATCTTATTTTGACTAAAGTCTTTTCAAGTTCTACCTCCAAGTCCCTATGACTTGAATGACAGGTGTGTGTGTGTGAGCGTGTGCATGTATGTGCGTGCACCTGTGTATACATAAAGATATATAAACATTTTTCTTTCTGCTTTGCTTTAGCTCATGATTAATTTACTGAAATCAGGGTCTGTATATTTTAATTTTTATCGCCATAATACGTAACACTACATTGCCAAGAAATACCTGTGGCTACTTGTAAAATGAGAAGTTTCCCACCATGGAAAATAATTGAAAAACATTCAAACATATATTTCTGGTGTGTTCCAGTATATTTCTCTTTTGTGCTTACTCTCCTCAACTACTTCCTATCCCATATACATCCTCAAAAGTCTAAAACATAGGTATTCCTTGGGGACCTGTGAGCTGCTAGGAAATAAAGGGTTTTTTTTTAAGTTTAAAAAAAATTTAATATGTATATTTTTGTGTGTCTCTGTGTGGTGTGTGGGTATGTGTTTGTGAATGAACTATTTAGTGGTGTTGGTTCCCCTGGCGCTAGAATGACAGGTGGCTGGAAGTCACTGACATGGGTGCTTAAAATCTAACTTGGGCCCTTTCTCTGCAAGAACAGTGCATTCTCTTAACTGCCACTCCATCTCCACAGCCCCAGAAAGAGTACTTGATACATGTCTAGTAAATGGTGCCTATAATTTGTTTTCCACTCTTGTTGAAGATGATATATGGAGGTGGAATTATCCTGGAGGATGTATGAATGATTTTATGTGCAGAAAAGTAAAAATAGGTGTAAGTTGTTTTGATTTGCATTTCTCTAATGACTAAGGATGTTTATCATTTCCTTGAGTTTCTTTCAGCCATTTTAGATTCCTCTGTTGAGAGTTCTCTGTTTAGGTCTGTACTCCATTTTTTTTTTATTGGATTATTTGTTCCTTTGATGACCAATTTCTTGAGTTCTTTGTATATTTTGGATATCAGACCTCTGCTTGATGTGGGGTTGGTGAAGATCTTTTCCCATTCTGTAGGCTGCCATTTTGTGTTGTTGGCCGTGTTCTTTGCTTTACAGAAGCTTTTCAGTTTCAGGAGGTCCCATTTATTAATTGTTTCTCTCAGTGTCTGTGTTACTAGGGTTATATTTAGGAAGTAGTCTCCTGTGCCAATGTGTTCGAGTGTACTTCCCACTTTCTCTTCTATGAGGTTCATTGTGGGCTGGCTTTATGTTGAAGTCTTGAATGGCCAAGATCAAAAACACAGATGACAACTTATGCTGGAGAGGTTGTGGGGTAAAGGGAACACTCCTGCATTGCTGGTGGGAATGCAAGCTGGTACAGCCACTTTGGATGTCAGTATGGCGATATCTCAGAAAATTAGGAAACAACCTTCCTCAAGACCCAGTAATACTACTTTTGGGTATATATCCAAAGAATGCTTAATCGTGCCACAAGGACATGTGCTCAACTATGTTTATAGCAGCTTTGTTTATCATAGCCAGAACCTGGAAACAACCTAAATGCCCCTCTACCAAAGAATAGATAAGGGAAATGTGGTATATTTACACAATGGAGTATTATGCAGCAGAAAAAATAATGACATTTTGAATTTTGCAGGCAAATGGATGGAGTGAGGTAATCCAGACCCAGAAAGTCAGTTATCACATATCCTCACTCATAAGTGGTTTTTAAACATAAAACAAAGAAAACCAGCCCACAAACCATAGTCCTAGAGAACTTAGACAACAATGAGGACCCTAAGAGAGACTTACATAGATCTAATCTACGTGGGAAGTAGAAAAAGACAAGATCTTCTGAGTAACATGGGAGCATGGGGACCTTGAGAGAGGGGTGAAGGGGAAAGGAGAAGCAGGGAGGGTAGCAGAGAAAAATGCAGAGCTCAATAAAAATTTTTAAAAAAGTAAAAATAGTGATCTCAATATACTACGATAAACCACACTCTCTGGGCAGTGAGAACAAATAGAGCACAGAAATCAAAAGGGATTGCAACTTCAGTCAGCCAAACAGAGCTTTGTAGCAGTGTGGTAGGGTTGGTTTCTTTACTGAATATTATCAAATGTCCTATTCCCAGACAAATTCATGTCTCTTGCTACTAAGCGAGAGAGATGTGTATGATTTAGCATTGTAGCAGGGTGGGTCAGAACTTCATAGATCTGCTTGTCTCTGGTAGCAAGCCCTAGGAGCTTCTCCTCTCTTCTGCTTGCTCCAGAGCTGCTCACTGGTTTGTTGATGGTGACCACAGCTACATGAACATGTGAATGATCATTTTTCTGCTCATGTTAACTCTGCTAGTTTCCAACTGTGCTTTACATTAGGATCTGTTCGTTCCAAGTATAGACTCTCGTTTAAAGTTACCCTCATCTGCCTTCCTTACAGCAACACAGGAAGGCTAGGCAAGGGCTTGACAGTACGCTTGAAAAGCAGGCCCTCTCATCAGTTCAGGTGTTCTTCCATCCGGGAAGCAAGAGACAGGGCATTGGGTAGAAGAGCCTGAGGATACAGCTGAACCATGACCCTGGAAGATGGGCTCTACTCCTGGTGGCTTGCACGAAACGTGCAACATCCAGAGGGCGAGGACTGCTACGAGGAAGGGAGCATAGGCTGAAGAGAAAAGTGAGGTGGTGTGTGTAGACTATAAAAAGCAACCAGAAGAAAGTGCAGAGGAAGGTTGGTGGCCTGGGTCTGTAACGTGCAATAAACCCTGTTCTCTTAGTGGCCAGCTGATTGAGTCTTTGAAGGCTGTTTAGGAAATGTTCTGTGTATTGTTCTCTCTTGCATTTCCCTTTCTCTCATCTGTATAGAATTATATAAATATTATGTAAGTAAGTTCATAAGGAGCCATTTCTAAACTTATGTCTAGTTAAATAGATAGTTCTGTGGGCCCACTGTGATGTGGGAGTCCCCTCTGTGTGTTGCTTGTATTGGTTAATGAATAAAGAAACTGCCTTGGCCTGATAGGGCAGAACTTAAGTAGGCGGAAAAACAGAACTGAATTCTGGAAGGAAGGAAGCAGAGTCAGGGGATGCCATGGATCTGCTGCAGGAGATGGATATGCTAAATTTTACCTGGTAAGTCACTGCCACGTGGCAATATACAGATTAATAGAAATGGGTTAAATTAAGATGTAAGAGTTAGCCAGTAAGAAACTAGAGCTAATGGGCCAAGCAGTGATTTAATTAATATAGTTTCTGTGTGGTTATTTTGGGGCTAAGCTAGCTGGGCGGCCAGGACAAACAAGTGGCACCATCCCTTCCAACACCACTGTGCCAAATTTCAGGCCTGGCACAAGATGGTTCATGGAGGATGTTAAGTATGTCCCCATTCTGTACTGAAGAGTAGGGGCATTTTAACCTGTCATTGCCATGGCTCTATAGGATGTGTATACATCTTTCAAAAGCACAGAGATAACTCACGAGGAATTACTGAAGCCTGTAGCCTGGTACAGAACAGGACTTTAATTTATTTCCCACCCAAGTTAGCTTTGTCAGTCTGACACAGTCTAGAAAAATCTTAAAAGAGAGCCACCATTAAGAAGTTGTCTAGATCAGGTTGGCTGTGGTCATGTCCATGGGAATTGTCTTGATTATTAATTGATGTAGGAAGGTCCAGCCCAATGTGGCCAGTACTATCCCTAGGCAGGTGGTCCTAGGTGGAATAAGCTATATATAACTATGCATGAGCAAGTAAGCAAGATTACTCCAAGTTTCCTCCTCTGGATTTCTCTCAATGATGGGCCTGGAAGTCTAAGCTTAAAGAACCCTTCCTTCCTTTTAAGTTGCTTTTGATTATGGTGTTTGTCATAGCAATAGAGATCAAACTAAAACAGAAATTGGTACCAGGTAAGTAGGAATGTGGCTACAGCGAACCTGACCATGTGGCTTTTGTGTGTTTTGACTGTTTTGCTGGAGTGTTCTAGAGGATTTTGAGGCTTTGGGCTAGAAATTTCATCTATTGCTCATAGCTTAATGGGCTGTTGTGGAAGCTTGAACAGTAATGTTGAAAGAAGTGTGGACTGTGGACTCTGGCTTGCAGTGCTTCAGGAGGAGCGAGGACTTAACTGGAGGAGACACCATTCTTGGGATACTTTGACTAATAGTTTGTGCTGGTTGGTGATGCTGTGCCGGGGAAGCCAGGTGTGATTAACAAATTCCACACATTTTAGTGAAAGTTTTTGGACTATATCAGGACATTATAGGATGCTGGTCTCCCTGGCTTGAAAAATCACCTGTGGTTAATAAAATGTCAGCATCACTGAGGTGAAATCTGAGCATAGGAAAGTATTTCTTTAGGGTTGGCATACTGGGATCTTTGCTCCAAGGGATCCAGAGCTTCATCTCAAGCTGGCAGCTGAAGTTGGAAATGATTAATGACTTCCCACATGGTACTGGTTTTGAAGACATGAAAACTTCAGGACTGAAGAGGTTGTGGAGGGTGACTGAGGCCTGGATTTTCTCCCCTGGTATTTCTCATAGCAAGAAGGCAAACTAGAACTGTGCTTGAATATATCATCCAGAATTGCACTAGAAAATATACCGTAGGCTAATATACCCACCAAAATTGCATTAGAAAATACACTATAGGCTATTATACCCTCCAGAACTGCATTAGAAAATACACTGTAGGTTAATTTTCTTATAGGAGAAAGACTTAAGGCCAGTTCCTACCCAGTGGATATTTTAAAGCACATGAGTTGAAGACATCAAAAGATAGAGACTTCCCATGGGTATGGATTGGTAGGATGAATAGGATGAAGATGGTCATTTTATCAAAAGCGATCTGGATTCATGCAGTCCCCATCAAAATTCCAGTTCTTTACAGAAAAACAGAAAAATTTACAATTCACATGGAAACACAAAAGATCAATCCTGAACAATGAAAACATTGCTGGAGGTATCACCAGTCCTGATTTCAAATTAAACTACAGAACATAGTAAAGACATACTGTCCCAGCACACACAAAGCAGCATGACGGTTGGTAGAATAGAATAGAAGACCCAAATACAGATCCACAGACCTACAGCTACAGGATTTTTGATAGAGGCCAAAAATACATTTTGGAGAAGAAAGCATCTTTAACAAATGGTCCTGCAAAATGGAATATATACTTGTGGAAGAACTAACCTTGATCCTTACATCCCACTCGGAACAAAAAGCAATTCTGACTGGATCAAAGACCTCAGAGTTATACCTGAAACTTTAGAGGAAAGAATAGGGAATGAACCAGGATACAGGCTTGGGTAATGGCTTTCTGAGTAGGATCATGCAGGAAAGAGGTGCAATAATCAACAAGTGGCTCCCTGTGAAATTAAAGAAAAAAATCTTCTGTATTGCAAAAGAGACTTCATTGATGGAAGAGGCATCCTACAATACCCACCCCCAAACTATAAAGGGAAACAGTCTTTTTTAAAATTTATTTATTTTACATACCAGTTCTATTTCCT